TTTGTTTGTATACTAACTTTTGACTTTTTTGTATTTAATGAATTTTTAACTAACAAATATGATGCTAAAAATACAAATATATCACATTCTTTTTATTTATTGGAGGAAAAAAAATTAAATCTTAGAATTAGAGTGTGCCCACCCAAGATGAAATTCTTGGCTCCATAGAATTGTGATGACAGAGATTAAAAATACCATGAGTCGCATAGGTCACCGCTAGTAAGTTCATGTTCTAATGCAAGCATGTTTGTGGATGTAATGGGGTTCGTGAATTATTTCCTTACTACTTGTAATGTTTTGTTACAATTTTCTTAACTAATAGGATGTAAATCAATATATTTATAAAACTATGGACTATGAGATATCTCAAATTAGGCTACCAATGTTATTACTTTTTGGTTTTTGCATTAACTTTGTTCAAATGAATAACAAAAATAAGTAATGTTATATGAATTTAAAAAATATGAGTTAAAATGTATATTTGATAATTACAATTATTGAGTTCACTGTGGGTCCTAATAATTATTGGGACCCACTATCTATTCAATGATAGTGATTATCAAGTACATAATTTAAGTGCAAATAGCATTTTCCAATGAAAATAACAACATTAAATTATTTGTAGGACGTTGATCAAGAAAAAAAATATTATTTGTAGGACCAATAAAAATTGGTTACCAAATAGATTATTTTTTTATATTTTCAATTTTATTAACCAAATAAGTTTTGTGTTTCTACTTTTACAAGTAAAAATAAAATAATTTTTTTTCTCCTTTTTCAAAATTAAAAACCGAAAATGTTATCAAATGTTACTTTCTTTTTTCCGACAATGTTGAAGTTTTAGATACAAGAATGAAAGATAATTAGGTCGTTGGATTTTTATATACCAATTATGCTCCTAATTATAATATATAAAGAAAAAAAATATTTATTTGGATGCATGAAATTTAAGAACAAGACAAATTAAAATAATTTTCCAAAGTTGAAGGATTAAATTGAAAAGTGGTATTCTAGATCGCGAGAATGACTTCATTGACAACCAATAAGACAAACATCTCGACCCTCTCAAGTACATTCGACCACGTATGATTATTAACCATTATATGTTTTTTGAGGGGAGTGAATTGAACTTTGTACCATGAATGACTAAATTTCTTAAATTTCACTTTTAATATAGTCATGTGACTATTCTGTTGGCATTTTGTTAGTTTTTTCATTAGCGTGAATGAGGTGAGTTTTGAGAGAAAAAATAGCGGAAGTAAATAGAAGGGTCATATTTCAATATTTTTGATACATTGAAAATACAATATAACAAATTTAACCATTAAAAAATAAGGTTAATTACACTGAATGTCCCTAAAATATAAAATTTGTTTCATTTTAGTCTATAATATTTTAATTGTATTGTTTTGGTCCATAAAATATTGAATATGTTTCTATGTGATTCCTAACGTCCAGATTGTTAATAAATTTTTTATTATAAACTTGTCACATAATACTTAAATATAAGCAAAAAAAAAAAATTTGGATTTTTGACCAAATTTTTACCTAAATTTTGGCCAAAGAGCTAATCAAAGCATACATTTTTTATTATAAGATATCCAAATTTTAATCAAGAGTTACACATATTACACATTTTTGGTCAAGAACTACCCAAATTTTGATCAATAGTTATTCAAATTATTTTTTGTCTATATTTAGGTATCACGTGATAAGTTTATAATAAAAAAATTGTTACTAATTTAAATGTTGCCTGTTTGAAATATTGGAAACTAAAATGAGACGAAACTAAAACTTTGGCGACCTCCAATACAATTAACCTTAATAAATATAAAGTGAAAATTTTAAAATCTTTTAGGCTACAAAATGCGAAAAACCCTTTTGAGGGAGTGTCTCTCCATTACCAAACAGGGAAACCTTGTTTCGTTCCTCCTCGTCGCATAACAACCAGCCGTTCACTTCTTTAGATAAGTTCTCCTCTTGTGTTTTTTAAAAAACGTATAAGGGTAATTTGTGTTCTTGTTTCGTTTCCAGATGTTACAAATAACCCATAAGTTTTTTAGTATTTTTAAGCTTTGAAAATCATAATAAAGGAACAATGCATTGCGAATTGGATGAGTGTAGCATTATACCGAATACGTTTAGTCTATGATACTTGTTGACCTTAAGCTGTTATGCAAAGCACAATAGATGATGGGTATATTCGAGTTCTTAATTCATGATCTTCGATTTGAGAAGTGGTTGAATTAAATGTTTGTGATGCCCAATTGAACTAGAAGCCGTGATGTGATGTGCATGTTCGAATTCTGCAATAGTTTCAAAGTGATTGGCTTTTAGTGTTTGATTTTTTGTGGGTTTACCCTTTTCCTATTTTGCCCAGTTAAACTTAAGAGCAGAAAAAATGATTAAAAAAACGATTTTACAAGCACGAACATGACGATTTTCAAAGCTTTGACACAGACGAAGAAGTCTGTGTGTTGTGTTGAAAAAAAAAAATTAATTAAAAACTCTGACACAAGCCAAAAAATTATCAAATTTATGATTATGATATTGTTAAATGTTATAAATTTTAAGTGTTTTTAAAATTTTCTATTTAAATATTATTTTTAATGTGTATAAGAATATTTTAAGTTTCTCTTATATTTTTTTTTATGTCCGTGTATATTTTAGAATGTTCCTTGAAAGAAGTTTAAAAATAATTTTTTTAGGATTCTTTAGAATATTATTTTAAGTGGTCTTAAAATTAAAGAATTGGCCCTAAAATTGTTTGGAATTTTCAAAAAGTTTAAAACGGGACAAAAGTCTCACTTAACATAAGTTATTATATATTGAGATAACTTATCTTTTTAACATTCACATAAAAAATAGGTAAGCTGAAAAAATAAAGGTAATAAAAAAGCATTCATTCAATTGTGTAATTGTGTCGTATTAGAATTAACTCAATTTATAACTGTTTTATTTATAATCTCGTATAATTGAATTTGTATTATAAATAAGTCGGATTTATGTTGACCCGTTTATTTGAGAGACGTATCAAGTTTATTTGTTTATTACCTATTGATGATGCACAAAACTGTCTTCGTACAAGATTAACAGTTAAGTATGTGTAAGGATGTAATTAATGAGCAATTAATGACAATTAAGAGTAAAACAGTAAATAATAGATCAACACAGGGATTTATAGTGGTTCGGTCCAAGTGACCTACCCCACTCTCGAGAACGGCAGCGGCGACCTGTGTTCTTTATTGATGTTGATGAATGACAGTACTCCGGAGAAATACAGTGCTTTTAGGGAGACAAAGAGAAAACAATGAGTGTAAAGTTCGGAGGCCTTGAAGGCGTTTGAGGTGTTGGAGGCGTGCCCCTCAATATTAAGAGGGCTTACATTATATAGCTAGGGTAAGGTAGCGGAGGCGGTGACGTGAAGAAAAATAATTCTATTGCTTTGACAAGTATTGCTATGGTAGGAGATCTTCTATATCTATTTTCATATTATCTTCTCTCGTGCTTCTATTCATCCGGAGGAGAACATTAATTGGATATGGACCTGGACTTGGACCTGGAGTACCAAGGTGAGGAGGAGCGAAGAGGGAGGCGCCCAAGGGGCTAGCCCAGGTGGCACCCAAGGGGCCAACCCAGGCGGCGCCCAAGGGCTCTCTGGTCTTCATCCTCCTTCGGCCGTTGGCTTTTGGTGCTGTCTTTTTGGTGTCCTCCTCGATGGTCGACAATGGATGCTTCTTTGGACTTTTTCGATTTATCTAGATTGGGCTTGGCCCAATAAAATCCAGGCTCATCACCTATATTTACTAAGGTTACACTCAAGCTTATTATTTTTGTATCGATTTTTTATTGAATTCATACTTTATATCTAAAATTATCTTAAAATTTGAGGTATTAAAATTTTGGGAGAATTACATCCAGATCTCCTGAAGTTTGTCATTTAATCACTCAGATATTTTGATATTTGAAATATTGCACACAAATTCATTAAAATTTGTACACATATAACACTTAGACGACTACGTCAAATGTCTATCGTTAGTAAATTACATTTAGACTCTCTGAAATTTATAAACGTATAATACTTAGACCCTTCAAGTTTAAAATATTATATTTAGACAAAAAATATTCAATTAAAGATAGAATATCAAATATTTTAAATTTTAAAATAAAAATTCATATTCTATTGTACCATTTATTGAAATAAAATAAAAAATAAGAAGTCAATTTTTTAAAAAAAAATCAAACAAGGGATCTAAGTCATTCATAATATACTATAAATTTTACAACAAAAATTCATGTTCTATTACGTCATTTATTGAACATGAATTATACTATCTATTAGAATAAAACTAAAAAATCAAATAAGGTGTCAAACTATAATTTACACAATATATTCTAGCTTTAATTGAGATAATTTGATAGTTTAATTTGGTTATTTAAACGACAAAATTAAATTCTTATAGATAGTATAATTGTATACTAATTATGATTTTTTAAGAAAAAAATAGATTTTTATTTTTAATTTTATTTTAATAAATGTCATAATAGAACATAAATTTTGATTGTAAAATTTAAAATATTTGATATTCTATTTTTGATTAGAGTATTTTTGGTCTAAGTATAATATTTTAAACTTGATGAGTCTGAGTATTATATATACCTACAAACTTCAAAGGGTCTAGAAGTAATTTACTAACCGATATACTTAACGGACGATAGGGTCTAAGTTTTATGGGCATACAAATTTTATGGGATTTTTATGTAATATTTTAAATATTGTGAGATCTGAGTGATTAAGTGATAAACTTTAACTTTAAAAGTCTAAGCGTAATTCTTCCAAAAATTATTTTTAAGTGGTTCTAATTTGTTTTTGGGCCTAAATATATTATTACATTGGGGGGCTAGGCGGTGGCCTTAATGGCCTAGGGCCGGCGCTGAGCACAAACACATGATTGGTATATTCAAAGTCTTCGATTTAAACTTAAAGAACAGAGAGAATGATAAAACGACGATTTTACAAGCACGAACATGGCGATAGAGATGATCCCTCTGAGTCTTCTTCCTCAGAGTCTGAAGTGGAGGCTGAGGCCATAGAAGAAACCGAAGAAGAAGAAGAAGAAGAAGAAGAAGACGCAGTTGCAGAAGTGAGGGAAAACGACAGATCTCGCTCTTCTTCTTCTGGTTCGTTTATCCTTACTATTTTCTGTTCCTCTTTTCTCTCTTTCTGCACGTGTTTAGTTCTTTTGTGGCTATTAATTCTCTTTCCGCTTTATTGCTGGCACCGTTGTCCTGCACGCTATGCTTATCAATATTGTCATCACAAACAGAATTCATTTTATTTTTCAGGATATGAGAGTGAAATTATTTTATCCTGAGCTTTGGATTTAAATTGCGAGACTTGAACTCAATTATTTCTTCTAACAGAATTCATTTTATTTTTCAGGATATGAGAGTGAAGATAGCTCGGTGAATGAAGTCAATCTTGACTCATCAGGTTTGGTTTAGTTGTATTTTTAGGTATATAAGTAATGGTTGGTTTTATTTCATTTCCCTGATTTTGTATATGCTTTGGATAATTGCGCATATACTATTCTGCTTGGCATGGAGGCAAATTCATGTCACAATTTGCATTTCATTCTGGTGCTAATGTAGATTTTTTGTCATTTGTCTGTACTTCATGCACTTCTCTGTTGAGCGAAATGAACAAAATCAATGTGCTATCCCTATCATCATCACCATATCATAATTTTTAAGCCCATGTGCTAGCTGTTATTCTAGGCTTACCATATGCTGCAACTTGAAGATGTGATAGCAAAAGGGAACAAATAATTTTGTTTGCCCAAAACTTGCTATGTTATTTTGCTGCCACTAATTTACCCTGGTGAGTGGTGAGGATAATTTGTTTGACCATCTGAAACTCGTTTATCCCCCAAACATTTTTCAAGGTTGTAAGGCTAAATGCACTCACGTATCTACTATTTTCCTACCTGGTATTAGATATGTGCCATTTTACAGCAGTTCTCTTGCCTTCCTTAATTCAAGATACATTGTGTATATTAAATAATTTATTTTGAAATGCATGCTTGGTCTTCAGTTCCGAGAATTTAAATGTTCTGAATGTCTCACAACATAACTGTTGCAGGTTTATTAACAAATGATGATGATATCGGGATTGTAAGTGATGGTCAAAATGTTAGCGAAAGTCTTTCATCTGGTAAAAGCAATGCTGAAACAGTGGTGGATGTGCAGTGCAATGTGGAAAATCCGTCGGATATATCGGGCTGCGTGTTGAAATGTAAAACCGTTTTTAAATGCAGACTATGTCCGAGAATTGTCTGCTTGACAGAAGAGACTTTGAAGGCTCATCTCAAATCCAAAGTAAGCAATCTCCTTTAAAGACTTCAACGATGTATCTTGTTTCTATTTTGGAACGAGATCATGATTTAAAATCCTTGTCCTCTCTAAGAGGCATTTGACACCATAACCAAAAGAAAAAAAATTCGTTGTCCTCAATTGTCTTTGACTGGAAACCTCTTTCACAATTATTGTGGCCAAGCATTGCTTTCTATACTTCAATATTATTAATGCCTATGTGATTATCATTCTTCATCTCCCCTGTCAAAAAATATCGAAGATGACCATTAATGTTAGATCATTGTTTGCCAGTTTGGCTTTTTTCCAAATGGAAATATTCTCGAGTAGCCCTTATCCTAATAACCCTAATCTTGCTACCTAAAATTTTCCTGTTCTCTCTCTCTCTCTCTCTCTCACACACACACAGACACACACACACACACTCTCAGAGGGTGCCACCAGCCTTATCTCTGCCCAACCCACGCCCAACCTTCCCTACCCATTTGGGCCCTTCCCTTCTTCTTTTGCTTGTTACCAAATCCCTTCTACCACCAGATCTGCCTCCATCCCCAGCCCTATCTAGCCACCACAATCTCGTTACACACACGCACACACACAACCACAATCTAAGAAGCATGAATACGGACACGGGACACGGATATGACACGATACAGACACGCCGACACAACATTTCTCAACAAAGTAAGACACGGACATATTGAAGATACGCTACAAAAAAAATTATATTTTATATATCGTATTATATAATTTATTGCAAATATAGTGATAATGATATATAATTCATAAAAAAATTAGTTTTTTATGATAAGTAAATCTATTGTCTAGTCATCTATGTGAATTTTTAGAATAAAACATCCTTATTAAAGTTAATAATTATCAATTTTTTTTTTGCAGACAATGTGTACCTAATATATAATTTAAATAATTGCTCTTATTTTCTCAATTCCTCTTTTTTAAAATTTATATGCATTTTTTGTTTTTATTATTATATTTGGAGTACAACATTAACATGTCTAGTATTAGTAATTATATGTTCTCAAATTTTTTAGCTTTGTTAATAATATTTCAACACATATCTATTGTTTAGTAGTAGACACGTTCTAAAGAAGTGTCGGACATGTCACCAAAGAAGTATCTGACATGTGTCCAAAATTAAAAATTTATCATTTAATTATAGACAGATAAAAGAGTATCGAACACGTGTTCGAGAGTGTCCGAAGAGTGTTGGTGTCCGACATGGATACGTCACATTCTCGAGAGTGTTCGTGGTTCATAAACCACAATTACAGCACACACTATAACACAAATAGCGCACACCCGCAAAATGAAAGATGTCTCTCTCTCTTTCTCTCCATCATATTTGCACACACATATGATTTGATAGACCCAAATGATGTTTTTGGGTTGAAATTTGAGATGAAAATGATGGATTCAATGGGTGTTTTGATGGGACCAATCTCGTGTGCATTCAGTGGTGCACAATGGGTGGTATGTATTCAGTGGAGCTCAATGGGTGCAGGGTTGTGTATGAATGAGGAGAGAGACAAAGATGTGAAGGAGATCAGTGGTGGTGAGTGACGATGCAAATCGGTGTGGATCGGGCATGATCAGGATTTGATTGTTGGGTACTTGGGTTGGGTTTGATTATGATTTGATTCAAGTTTTGATTTTGTGTAGGGTTGGGTTTAGATTAGGGAATCTTTGGGGATCAAAAGGTAAACTAGGTATTTATCGGAAGCTCTAGAAAGATGTCAACAAAATCCTGCTAGTTGACTTACTGGGTATCCAGTGGAATAGAAAGGGAAGCTCATTTCATTTCTAGTTATCTAGTATGCCTTAGTTTATTCAATGCATGCATTGTTTCCCACTGTGGCTATTAGGATAAACAAATGTGATAGCTTATGGGATTAGAATACAAGTGGTTCTGGCATCACATGGGTAAAGAAGCATATGATCCTTGAAAAGGTGTGTGTGGAAACTGTTAGGGCCTATTTGGTTGATTTTTTGAGAGGGGTTTGGATTGGTTTGTCCAAATTCTTCCAAACCCAAACCCTTTAAAAAGATGGGATTCACCATTCAGTCCCGTCCATACCCATGTTTGGTATGCACACATATATATCACTCTTATGATAATATATTTGTATATAAATGACTATTGTGCCCCCTTAATCAATCTAATCCAAATCTATGTTTGTATACGTAAATTTTTTTGTGTCCTTGTGGTTTTAATATATGATTATTTTTTCTTCCTAACTTATGAAAAAAAATATGAATGTTGATAAAATATAACTATTATTCATTACCATAATAAAACTCAAAAAAACATTGAACCAACAAGACGGTGCAATATTCTAACATTTACATATACGGGGATATACACAAAACTTGTCTATTCCCAAATACATCAAACCAGACGGACATATTCCCGTTACACCATATTAAACATCATTGTATTGGTTACAAAATGCTCACATTTATTGATTACATTAATCATCAATGATAATCAAGTCCACAGTCGGCCTATATGGGGACGGGACTGAAGTGGAGTTAGCACTGGAAACTATTGATATATTTTCGCCTTCCCCATGTGGCCCGAATATTTCTGCGAAAATCTCATAACTGGGGCAAGTCTGCACACACTTTAGATGCGAAGGTGTCATCCTACAAAAAATGACATATTGGATTTATGGACACATCTATATAATAATTTGTGTAGTAATATACATATGTAAAAACCTAACAAAAAATAAACCTCTAAGAAAGATACTCCTGCTTGTTCCAATGGAACAGCCCCAAAGCCTCCATATCTTTCTTCTTGAAATGACTTCTTTTCCAAAAAATAACTACTTTCGTCACTAGTCCCAGAGTTAATCGTGGTACTTGCCAACGTGTACTTATCATCTCTCATAGACGACTCCAGCCTCTTCTGAGGAATTCACCCGTGTTGGCAATACATATCTCTAACTTAAGGTCCATAAGTCAATCCAATAGAACATCTTCTTCATCTTGTGTTAGCTTTAATCGTCGCATTTTTTTTAATCATGATCCGATAATAATTTCCATTACGAAATGAATGCAGAAAAAATTAGTTAATAATGTAACAAAAATTTGTACATTAGTTTATTGATATCAATCCATAAAAGTGAATACATAAATTACAAACATAGCATAAGTGCATGGGAAAAATTTCAAGAAACATGGTCGTCGCACATGATCGTTCGGTCAAATAAATTTTCCCACAAACATTGTCAAAATATTGTAAATTATGAAATCCAATATGAACGCTACTACAACGAGCATAATTCCATTTTGTGGGGTTGGTAGAATTTCTGGAGAGGGATTTCTTCTAAACCTTTCGTTCTGGCATGAGAATTCGTTCACGTGCTCTAGTGGGCCATGGATCATTCACAGTGTTGTTTTCCTGTGTATACATTAGATTTTTATTTTGGTTTATCACTATAGTGGAAACATGTTCTGCTAAGGCTTCTTATGCAACAACGTTTGACGAAGAAGATTTGTACAAAGTGCCAGGATGTCCAGTGACAAGGCCGTGGCATTCTTGCCAAGTATCAACAATGCGTACCCTTCGGCCATTGAACACAACATACCATTTTTTCTTCAAACCCATTTTCATTCCTGTTATTGAAGTCATGACTATTGTGAAATATAAATAACACAAGGAATTCACTACAGTTTTAAGACACAAACATTAAATACCCAAAACATAACAAGCATACACGAAATATTCCCAAAACATAACAAAACACAAACATTAAATACCTCAAATTGAAATACTTGTGCACGTTTCTTAGAGCTGCGGCACCGTCGGCAAACTCCTGTAAGTGGTATCGCTGGACACGAAATGGAGCCAAAAAACCTTCTCTATTTGTGTACCCAGCATCCTCAAGGTAATATGTACCTATAAGTGCACATAATTGATTAAAACTTAATTCTTGAAGAAACTAACCAAGTCACAAAATGTCTAAAAAAAAATTTTTGTGACCTTATCACGTTGCACCTTCAACTCATTCCGTCGTGTGATAGTATCACGTAGTACCCTAGAATCAGTGGCAGACCCCTCCCAACAATACGTAGATAAATTTCATGTTTTGCCCACAAACGCCCAACACATTTGTTGTTGTCCACCCCTTCTTGTTCCTATATTTACCTTGGTGTAGGAGGGGCACTTTTGCCCTAAAATGTGTACCAATAACTATGAAAACAATTGAGTACAAAGGTGTAGTTTAAATTCAATCACGAAATAATGACAAACACGTTGCTCGTACTGACTACCTTGAACTACTGCCAGTTGGGATCACTGCAACCATCTGTAATTGGTTCAGGCCTCTTCAAGAGTAATCGTCACAATTTTAGAACAGAATGCAGAATCGCGTTGAAGTGTCTACTCACTGTCTCCTTAGACCTAATGAAGTTGAACTTAATTGGACGATTCTTGTCATCATGGCCTATAACATTCAAAAACATTGCAACCATCTCTTCGATACGCATATTCTTTGTGTTGGTAAGCCCACCAACTTCCCTAACTAAGCACCACAACACGGAATGTATGTCTATCCATCTTAAGTTGTTCTACACATGTTCTATTGCTTTCTCCGATAAGTTTATGGAGATGTTCACTTTGTGCACGAAATCTATCAACTGACCTAGTCAATACCCGTGTCTTTCGTTTTTCATTTGCCCATATTGCTATCATAACTATCAAAATACAAGTACAAACAATGACAAACTCTCTTACTAAATTATTAAGACAAACAACCATAGCTGCTACATTGTCATGTTTACGGGCTATATTCACTGAAATAATACCACAAAAACCTCAAACATATCGATATTAATAATTACAAAATAATTTTCCAAAAAGATTAACTACATACTTTCTCTATGTATGTCTGTGTGTTCAAATGACCACCACATTCATGAAACTCCTACTACAAATACCAATCTCGTAATAAAAATAAAACCCATGCATCTAAAAAAATTTCAAGTGTACTTGTACTTTC